CATCCAAGCCCTCCCCGCCCATCGATCCCAGCGAAAAGTATATCAGTTTCCCGGGTCTGTCCCTCAAAGGCACCGGTATCTCAAATGTTGAGTCGGACTTATCCGGATGTCTCATTAAATTGTCAAACCGTATGACGTTTTTAGGCAGGGGTCGGACGTCTATGTAGTCTAACTCGTGTGGGTAGCCATATATGGACAGACAGTTTCTCGTGTCTCGGAAGCTGTGCTCCGGTAGTGATTGACAGCCCCGGGAGACAACGTAATCGTTATATGCAGTCCAACCATGTTTTTGGTGTTTATATAATGTGTCCCGAAAGTGTGCCCACTCATTTTTGTCACCCAACACTGATAAGCCTAATATTGAATATGGTTTTTAAAAGTTTATATTATATAAGACATGTAATTTTTAGTAAACCAATTCATTAGTGAACTAATCTTATAAAAAATTTTAAACTTTAAAAAATAATTCATAGTAAATTGTAAATAATAATTTTATAATTTTAATAATTTAATTAACCGTTCGTATTTGTAATTATGGGACGATATGGCTAAGGAGTTGTTATTTTATTTTAAATTCAAAGATTCAATTAAAATCATTAATTTACCTAATATACTTCAATCAATTATGCCCATTTAATAGAAACAGTGTAGGTGAAAATAAAAAATTTTTAATTTTTAAACTGTAAAAACGTGTTTATATTATTGTAAAAATTGTAATATACTTTAATATTTTCATTACTGGGCTCATCACAAAAGCTCTATTAATTTAACATTAATTTTTAATCTTATGTTCCCAGAGCATAACCGAATAAGTTATAAGAATTAAACTGGGTTAGATTTAATAAGCTTATTTAGTAATTATTTTAGTTTTACTCATCTTGATCACCTAAAAATCACCTAAAACTGATAAGCCTAACAGTAGTTCAGTACTGTATAATGATTGTTAATTATTAATATATTGTATAATCAGTTAGTAAACTGTAGAAAATGATTTTATTATTTTAATATTTAAATTCACTCATAACCGAATAAGTTATAAGAATTAAACTGGGTTAGATTTAATAAGCTTATTTAGTAATTATTTTAGTTTTACTCATCTTGATCACCTAAAACTGATAAGCCTAACAGTAGTTCAGTACTGTATAATGATTGTTAATTATTAATATATTGTATAATCAGTTAGTAAACTGTAGAAAATGATTTTATTATTTTAATATTTAAATTCACTTTTCATACTTTCATTTATTGGAAAATATTGGCAATTTATTTTGAACTAACCTATTAATTTAAAATTATTTTAAACATTTTATATTTTCCTGTATATATAAATACCTAATTAATTACAAAACTGGACATGATCATATTTTAATAAAATTATTTTCTATTAATTTTAATTCATACATAATACCTTACCCTTAAAAATTAATATATTTTATGCATTATCATTGTAATTAAATACTTCATTATACCGCATAAGCTAATTACTAGCCTACCTGAGCAAGTAGGGGGAGTCCTATCATCATCCATAACACTCAATGGATTGCCACTAAACACCCACACGAAAGGTATGCCCGACCGCTGGACAGACGGCAATGTCCTTAACTGGTCCAACACTATTAGGTCAGGCCTTATGACCTCCAGAAGCGGTTCAACCGTCTTATCCCACTCTATGGCCGTCTCGACGATACTACCCAACCGTCCGCACCATTGGATAGTCTTATCCAACGGGGAGTCCCTCTGAAAGTAACCCAATTTGGCTAACCGTTGGGAGATATCCCGGGCCGGGTCTACATGTGCCGGACGTTTCCGGTCAGTCAGTAGCCATTCCTCGATGCCATGAGGGCTGAGTCTACCTTTCCATTGCTCATTGACAGCAAATATGCACCGATACCTACCGGTGCTCATTAGTCTCTGGGCAACGGTTATACACGAGTTTACGTGACCCACGTGGTCGATGGGTATGAACAGGGTGGTTAATTGCTTGCTCATTAGTTTAACAGAGTAAAGTTTTACAAAAATACTAACTTTCACTTGATTATAGTGTAGTTAATTAAGCAATGGACTTTTATTTAACTATAATGCATAAACGTTTAATCAACGTTTAGTATAAATTAATTTTATGTTGTTTATATATTTTTATAGATTAGAAAACTGCTATGATGAAACCAAATAACTAACACATTTGACAATACCTAAGGTTGTATTTTAGGTACAAGATTAGAAATGTCAGTAATTATGATTTTTATGAATTATGAGTTATTTAACCTTGAATTATTATGTAATCTATTATATAAAAACTATACGACATATTACTATGGTACAGACATCTGTTATTGAATTGATATAATAATTCACGTTTAAACAATATTATTAACTTCATTATTGACATACCGTATGATAGTTAAAATATCAGCATTATAAAAATTAACATTAAAAATTTTATAAAATCTTTATAAAAATTAGCATATTAAATTATAATTAAATTTTTAAAACAATAAAAACACTTTTTCCAGTTTGCAATTTAAGATTTTATATTTTCACCAAAAATGTTTCTATTAAATTGGCATCATTGATTGAAGTATATTAAGTAAATGATTAATTTACATTACATTTAATCATTGCATTTAAAATTTAGATCCCCGACTGACCCGTAATTACAAATACGAGTTATTAATTAAAATATAAAAATAATAAAATTATTATCTACGGTTTAAATTTTAAAAATTATTACAAGTTTATTTCACTGATTACTAGTTTACTAAAAACTACATGTACCGAATTATGAAATTTAGATTTTTAAAACTCTTATTCAATATGATAGTTAAAATATCAGCATTATAAAAATAAACAAACTTCTAGCCTTTCTTTACAAAAATTTCTTAAACATTATTATAAAAATTTAATTAAAATTTTGAATCATTATTCTAATTATCCCAGCGTGTACAAATAAAATACAGTAAATAAATAAAAAATAAACAAACTTCTAGCCTTTCTTTACAAAAATTTCTTAAACATTATTATAAAAATTTAATTAAAATTTTGAATCATTATTCTAATTATCCCAGCGTGTACAAATAAAATACAGTAAATAAATATTTTTTATGCTATAATTTATACGTTTACTTTATTGAAATAAATCATTATTATCATTAATGATATTACTATAATACATACATTTACAGAAATTCAATTAAAATGTATGTTTATTTTAATAAACATAATGAATTATGTATTTATTTATTTCATAATATGTGAAAATATAACATTTATATTACTTTAATCATTTAATCAATAAAGTTTCATACATATTTTGATATCAAGTAAGGTAATAGTCTATATTTAATAAGTATAATTTACCCAATATTTTCAAAATTATTAAAGATACCTGAATAAAAATGCTGGTTTATTACAACATATTAGCACATACCCTATGTTTATTAGGATGTGTGTATCAAACGTATAAAATAAGTTTAATATACTTTTCGTACGAAACCACTACTAGTATTCAGTTTGTCACCAATAATGACCAAAAACCGGAACCCGGGATAACATTGTGCCTGGATAAACTAATGGCAATGGACAAAAATGTACTGGCTAACTATACTAACACCGAGGATGTTAACCAAAATTTCAAATACATTGAACAATTAGCTAGTCTTAAAAAGTTATCAAACTTTTATCCAGGATGCATGGTTTACGGGACTAAATCAAGTTATCAATGCAATGACTACCAAGATTATTTAATTTCGATTAACCACAACAAACTTTGCGTTACTATGTTCTCGAATCATATGAGTAAAATGAATGGTACACTGAATGGCCATGGTAAATATTTGAATAATATTCAACTAGTACGTATAACTATTGATGCTGGCAGACCGTTAAATAATGATCAATATGAAATTATTATTCACCCTGACAATAAACGAATATACAATATTGAGGACGAAAATGATAAATTACTGTTATTAATAAATGATAACAAAGTAACCTACGTTAAATTCAAGCAAATCATTGTAAAGTATCAACATTTAACTCAATGTACGCGTGGTATTACTTATGATGAATGCAATTATCAATGTATGCAAAATTTATACGTATCACAATTTAACTCGCTTAATAGTGGATACTTAACCTATCAAAATAGCAAGCACAATATTTTGTACCTGGATTGGAAAAATAAAATTGACCACAACAATACAATGAGAAACATGTGCCAGCACAAATGTATTAATATAGTCGAGTGCACGCAATATTTTTACACCTTGGATAAGCTCCCTGATACTAGTGAACAAACTTACGAGGGTCCTATTTTTCACTCCATAGAGATTGTATACCCGTCCGAACCGACCATTATATACGAGGTATCGTTGAAAATGTCTTTCGAGGAGTACTTGAGTCTAACGGCGAGTATTATAAGCCTATGGTTCGGGTTCTCTATACTAATGTTCAGTCATTTTGTGCGACAAATGTTTGCGAAATTAATTTCTGTTAAACAAAATGTTACCAATAATTATGTCAATCATCATAATAACCTGGTAATTAATGTAAGTAATCAACGAAGGTCTCACGTATTACGCGGTAAAAGTTTGCAAAAATATTAAAGCAAAACATTTAATATGTTTTGTGCAAATGCTAGTAGTTTTGTAAACAAGGTTAATGAATTGAAAGCATATTTAACACTATACTATTTGTAATACTTTTGTATTATTTTAAAACAAGTTCTTAATATAAAATTCATTTATTGTTATTATTATATGGTACAGTAAACAAAATATTTTATTAAATTAAATACTAGTGATGTGGGTAATTAATAAGTTTAGTACTATTATACATCACTATTTTGGAGATTTTAAAAATCCCGTACATGCCTGACCTTAAAGTCTAACCTAACCTAACATACTGTCTAACACAATAATTTGCACATTTTAAAATACTAATTGTTCAAAAAAATGGTAGATCTTTGGGGGATAATTATATCAATTTGAGCACTAATTGTATAAATTAAATGTTTGAATTTTACTTTTGGGGTTTTTAAGTATATTCAAGTTTGGACAGCCTACTCTATACAACGAACAAAATGGTTGAATGCATGTCTGCGGCCTAACAACCGGCTCTCTGATGACACACTTTGGGTGAAAGGTGTTACACGTGAAGCCCATTAGCAGCGAATGTCGGACCCCGGAGGTGACCCTCTCGACGAAGTGCTCGTTCTCTGAGCTGGACGTGAACCCCGAGACTCGTCCCAACTTAGGCTCAATTGTATGGTTCGACTTCTCGTCCGTCAATATAAAGCGTCCGCCGGAGAAGTCCGCGCCATATGTCGACAAATANAATTGATAGCACCATGAGTTTTGTTTGTCGATGTGTCGCACCCAATACACGTCGTGCTTCAGTAGGGACTTCGTTGGCATCTGTCTCACGAAGTATGTGATGAGATAAGTATAGCTGAGCCCAAGTGACGCCGAAATGGTCTGCAATTGTTTCGCGGATTCTGTTCGTCACAGTTCTGTAGACTTCTAAGTCTTTTTTGGTAAACAGCTCTTCCGTTTGTTGCGTACTTTCCATGAGTTTATGGATATTCACGTAATTAGTTCCCATTGAAAGAGCGCCCGAATGCAAGTGGAGGACAGAGTAGTCGCCCGAAGAGCCGCCCAATGATAAGCCTCTCCTCGCCATTGATAACAAGTGTTTGGCTTCCGGTTCAGTGATCACCGAATCGGACACAAAACGACCGCATCTTTGAGGCGCACACGAAGGGAACCGAACCCTGTCTTCGGTATAGTCTTGAGAACACATGACTTGTTGTCCGATCGACGAACCCGTTATGGATTGTGTGGCCGAAGCCATCAGTAGTTCTTTGGTGTCATTGGATTGTGTCGTGTAGTAAACCATCGCAAGAATAGCCATCGAGAGTGCCATTAGACTCGTCACTCGCTTCATAATACTCTTGTTTTGGGGTCTTTCGGGCGACAATCCAATCAAATACCACTGAAAGTACAGAAAACTTAATCTCACAGGACTTGGTCTACACAGACTACATGGAAAGTGTTTATAACAATGTAATAACTAGTAAATACTCAATTTTTCAATACATTAATTTTTATGCCAAATGATGCAAACCATTTACTGTCCAAACTGGCATAAAGGGCAAACAGGAAAATGTAACAATATTTGTGTAAAGTTACTCGGACACATCTGGCTCAGGGCTGATTGTCTATGGTGACAAAACTTTACTTTTATGTATGCGTTTCATAGATATTATTAATGTAAATCTTTATAACAATTTATTAACGAAATGTAAACGCACGTACGAATTAAAATCGATAACATGTAAAAATATGCAAACTTTCAAGTTTAAACTGTCGCCCCATATCATTACCAAGGTCATGGGTCTCATTTAGAATTAACGACGAAAGTAAAAATAATTAAAAATTAGAGTAATTTATTATTTTTCAATTTAATTTAAATTACACGTAATTTATATTTAAGTATTATTACTCCATTGTGAAATTATTTAATATTATGCTCCTATAAATTAATAAACTAATTATCTATAGTGTATCTAATTTTTATTTTATCTTAATATATTAACAAATGAGAACACCAATGACATTTTAGGTGTCTTTTCAATTTGTGAGCTTAATGATGTTTCAATGGATTTTATTTAAAAATATTTAATTACAAAACAATTTCATAATGGTAGATTTACAAAAATAAAATTTTATGAAAATTAAGGACATAACCAGGGACATTCAATTAGTATGCACGAATGTAATAATGAAAGTATGTATTTGAACTAAAGTATCTTGATAATTTTGTTTTATACGGTTCTTGTTAATTTATATTTGATTATTTCAGCAACTAGCACTACACTCGCTATCAAACACCCAGTTAATAATGCTGGAAATGAATTT